GGGGGTGCATGCGTGAGTGCGCTCCAGCGTATGTGTGTATTTTTGTACCTGTAGAAGATTATGAAATTTGATAAGCTTTTCGATCTCTTCCACACCATACTCCTTTGACATCAATATTTCACACCTCTTCATTTACTGTCTTTGGTAATGTAATGGCCATGCAACTGCGGTGTGCACAAGAGAGTTAAGTTCGATTTCAGTTTGGGAAAGCATAATAATAATATTTTATACTCAGGGGCGGCTCGTGGGTCTAAAAGGTGGGCGTGCACAATTAAGCTATCGCATGCTGAAGATTGTCAAGGGCATAGTAAATGAGACGGTGTATAATTTTAGGATCTTTGGGTTTGTGAGGAAGGACCTGGTGCTTTTATTTTAATTATTTTTACTTGTTGCTTTGATTTCTAGAACTTGAAATCTGTTTGTTATCAAAACATCAAATTCGTTCATGCTGAATGAAATCTGATCACTCCAGTAATAACTTTCACCACTCCACTACAAAACCATTCAAAGGCACAGCCCATAGGACGGTGACTTAAGTACATCACGTTCACCTCCCTCAGGTTCACGGTCTCAGAGTCACTTAAAATAACGACAAGACGATGAACCAATCATAATTCACTTGGGCACTCCGCTGGATTGCTCTAAGGATCACATACTTTTGGCAGTGAATAGCGTACAGTCTATCGCGTTTTTTTAGACTGCCTACTGTGGGCTATATTTCGGCACTATTCGGCAGCAGCACATTTGAGATGTGCCGGGTTATTAATATTAATGTACCGCCAAACTCGCAATGAGTGTTGTCATCGCTTGGGTTATCCCAAAGACAGATTTATAGCTCAGGTTACCAGCGTTGAATATCCTATTGTGTTTAGGTAAAGCGTGTGGACTTTGGCATAGCATAGTAGATGTTTCACGGCGCTATAGACACAGAAATGACAGTTACGGCGCCAGAAAGGACCTTGTTTTGATATTATATTTGGCTAGTGCTTGTTTCTTGCTTCTTTTATGTTATGTTTGTGGGTGCTTAACGTAATGGAATATTTAAAAAAATTTGGGCGGCACTGCACGACCGTGCTCTATGGACGAACCGCGCCTGTTTATACTGTACACTACCTCTTTCTTTCTGCTGGGGCAGTGAATGCGTTAATTAATTAAGAGAAAAGGTCGAAAAGTATTGCCTTCTTAAATGTAATACAATCTGTTAACACGTTTACGATCTCTGGTTAAGGTTTACTTCAATCACTCACACCCCTATCCATTCTGACATCTATGAAAGCTAAAATTATCCTTTGAGCATTAGTGACTTCTACCACCATGTTGGCGACATAGATACTGGGTGGGGGGGGTTCCAGATATTATTATGCGCAGTAGTTCAAGTAAGTTCAGACAGGGGAGCTATGAAAACTTTAATCCAATCATTCTGCCCTTATTTTTCCGATCTAACGTTTGATCAGCCAGTGTCTTAGGGGTCTCTTTAGATCATTTATCTCAGGGGTTTTTTTTGCCCCACACGGGCACAATTTTTTAATTTCGGAGGTGGACTTCAACTCTCCCTGTCAGAGTCAAACCCAGCTTGAGAGGGATACAATGTCCCAGCAGTAAGTTAGAGAAACCCGATGAAATTCTCTCAGCTCAAGAATCGAACTCGGGTATTCTGTGTGCAACGGTAAAAGGCCTGCTAATCACACTGCAGACGGACACTTATACACTCTTTCAGCCACTCATAAGCACTATTCCTCTGACGACACTAATGCCCGCGCCTTCACCCCCCCCCCCAAAAAAAAAAAACCCACAAAAAAACCGCGTCTCTCAGATACTCGACTGTTTATTTTCTAACGCTCGAGCTCACACATAGCACACATGTCATGTATCAGTACGCCCCATATCCAAAACTTTTATCCCTTTCCGTTTTTTGTTTCTGATTTTATTTGACATTTTAGATAGGCTGTAAACTGTGAGTAGTAAAAGAGCACGATTAGAGCTTGCTCGTTCATATGTATTTTACACAATCGTTTTCTTTTCTGTATGCTTTTTTCTGACTGCTTTTCTTTTAGATATAATATAAGTACTTTTACGTCCCTATTGATACAGTTTAAATAAATAATTTAGATGGCGGGCTGCAACCCAGGCTGAGAAGGACACAGCGTCCAAGCAGAAAGACCGGGATACTAGACAAAAATTATCCTATACACGGGAAGCGAACTCAGGTCTTCTGGGTGTAACGGCGAAGTGTGATCGCAAGACCACCTGCATCAGTTCTCTCTAGTTGTACACACGCTTCTGTCTGCTGTTCTCGAACTTTTAATTCGTATGTTTGTCAGATTGAAAGCTGTCAAGAGAGAAAAAATATCGTTTTGGGTTTGTTTTTGTTTGTTGTTTGTTGTTTGTTTTGTTGTTGTTGGGTGTGGGGGGTTTTTTTTGGGGGGGGGGTGTTTGTTTTGTTTGATTTTGTTCTTTGTTGTTGTTATGGGGTTGTTGTTTTTTTAGAGCGTTCTATTTAATTTACAAAACTCAGATTCCGTACTTTATTATATATCGTGCTCCCCACTCCTCTGACTGACAAATATAGAATATCACGTTCACTTGAAACTCAAAGCGATTATGGAATGAACAGTTTACTGATAGACTTTCTATTTTTCTAGATGTTTGGTTACGACTAAATAGCATGGGCAAGGCACAAGAAGATTTAATAGCAATTAAATATACTGTAATATTATGGTTAATTATTACATTTTGTCGTTAACATTGGGTTGTGCTTCAGACGGCAAGGTTGTATTATATGCATGAATCGATTCCGTCACATAGTAGCACCATGCAGTAGCCTAACCATAATAACTTAGACCCAAAAAAATCAAACGCGAAGACAGGAAATCGATCTTTGGAGAAAGACTTTCGGAAGTGAGCTCGTGGTGTTAATGATTCGGTATCGTAAAAAAAAAAATTTTTAAACCAATAAAAGAGTTATCATTCTGTCACGAAAAAAAATTTAAATCAAAAAGACTGAACTCGAACATTGTTCGGAGCACAGGAGGGTTTTGTTTGTTTTTTTCTTTCTCTTTTTTGTTGTTATTGTAATCATAAAGAAAAATACAGGACATAACCAAGGACAGACAGTATCTGATACCTGCCACGCCGTTCTTAAGTTAGGTGATATTTTCCCTTTCTCCGAAAACAGAATTGAGGACACAACGAGGAGCAACTCTACATCCTGGTTCCTCCTTCACTCCCGTTCATGTGCCTGCCGCCATATATACCCCTTTCAAAAGTGAAGTCGACCTTGCTAACAAACTGGACAAGCTACTTGAGCTCAAAGACCCAGCGCCTAGACGACAACTTTGCTTACCCCCGCTGTCCTTTAATTTGCGTCGAGCGGAAGAGAAACAGGGTGCACACACACACACACACAC